TAAGCATAAAAAAGAGGAGTACCGCAGATTGCTACCAAACTCTGCTGATTGCGACCAAACTGGAAGAAGGCTCTACTGATTGCGACCAAACTGGAAGAAGGCTCTGCTGATTGCGACCAAACTGGAAGAAGGCTCTGCAATTTGCGCCGAACTGTTGATGGCTGTGGAAGGAACTGCGAATTGCGTAGCATTCCGAATGGGAAGAAGCGGCGTATACAATGGAACTGCCAACTTGCTAAGGCCGTATATAAGTAATAAGTGGGCCCAGCGGACCAAACTTAACATTGACCCACTAAACAAATAACCTACGCCTTATATACGCCTCATGGCGTAAGTTAAATTGCGTACGCCTTAGGCTTAATAACGTACGCTATAGATGGCATCGCAATATGCAATATTACGCCTCAGGCTGGGAAATAGCAGATGTGCGCCTCAAGGCGCAATTGCATTGCGCAATTGCGAACGTTGCCCTCCATTGAACATTGTCACGAGTCTCCGGAATTTTCCAGAAAGTCGTGGTATTCCAGGCATTCCCGGTGGAGTCTAGAGCTCCCAACATCCAAGCAACACTTTTCTCTGGCTTCTTTTTCACCTACAGGAGTTTTCTTATTATCACCTTCGACATCGATGACATATCTATCAATAGGGCCCCGAACTCCTCGTTGGCTATTGCTGCCTCCATTTGAATCCATGCCATGGGGATTCACACTTTGATAGTATGCACCACTATTAATAACCTCTTCTCGATCTCTGTCCCGAACTGCTTGTGTTTTCTGCCCCAACTTCAAAAGGTCCAACATGTATTTCTTTATGTCTTCCGGAACGGATGGACAGTCGCTTACATTTTGTTTTGTGCAGGACAGATGATGCTTGAATCTGGTTACCCCTCCTGTGGTCTCTTTAAGGCAATATCTACATTTTACATATGTATAAGATTTGCCCTTTAACCCTTCTCGTTCAATTTTGTCACCATGGTTCCACGCAGGGTCATTTTTATTCGATTTAGTCATGATTGTACCGCACTACAAAATCTATCTATGTCGAAAGAAAATAACAAGAATGATATATTAGCAATTTAGCATAATATTAGTATACATATATACCCTATATATGATGTGAACTTGAATAGTTGAATATTAACAGAAAATTTATAACTGAAAACATCAAACTTAAAACTAAATAGAACATTAATTGATAACATTAATATTAAACATCAAACTGAAAAGTGAAAACTGAACATAACATCAAACTGCTGCTAAATTAACATTAATATTAAACATTAAACTAAACAGAAAATTTATAACTGAAAACGTCAAACTGAAAAATAAACAGAACATTAATTGATAACATTAATATTAAACATCAAACTGAAAAGTGAAAACTAAACAGAACATCAAAATAAACAGCTAGTTAACTGCTGCTAAATTAACATTAATACTAAACATTAAACTAAACAGAAAATTTATAACTGAAAACGTCAAACTGAAAACTAAACAGAACATTAATATTACATCAAAGTTGGAGTTATCATTAAATATTATAACTGAAATCAAATATTGATAATGTTAAGTTGAAATAAGCAAAAATAACATAAACAAAAAGCAAATAAGCATCAAACGGAGAAGCAGTATATACTATACACCAAAACGAATAAGCAAAAATAACATTAACAAGCTGGGAATTAACATGAAGTATTACTAAGCAGAAAATTAACAAGAAGAAAATTATACCCTATGCCAAACGGAAAAAACACAGTACCTTAGATTTCTGGGAAGAAGCGACCAAACGGAAAGAGGCGATGGAAACTGGAAACTGGAAAGAACTGGTTTGTTAACTGCTGCGGCTTTGGCTTTTTGTGTAAGAAGGAATTGCGCTGAGAGCTGGTTTATATACGAATAGTCGAATATAAGAATACCCTATGCGGTGCCCGTATGTCGGTCTTATGTTACTAAAAGTTCTAAAACTGGGCCCGGCTGACAAAATAAAAAATTGACCCAAATATAACGTACGCCTCATTGCGCAAGTTATATTGCGTACGCAATAACCCAAAAAACTTACGCTACAAACCTGAACGCCTTTTGCAATGCAATTTTACGCCACAGACTTCAAAACTACCGAGGCGCGCCATAAGGCTTAAAGGCATTGCGCAATTTGAAATGTTGATTCCAGGTGTTATTAAGTAAATAGAGTAAAAATCCCACCGCCCACTTGTATAAAATAAACCACCGCAGCTTCTGAAGTTTGTTTCTTATTGTATTTATTGTTTAAATGTTTTTATTTAACTTTTTAATTATTTAAAAGTTCAGTTTTTATTGTATGTACTACGTATTTAATGCTTTTTCAGCCAGCAAACTATAAAATATCCCACCGCCCCACTTGTTAGTTGTTTTGCTATAAGATATTATGGTTGCCATTCAATATTATTACTGTATTATTATGGTTTAAACTTTAAAGTGATCATAAAACTATCATTTAGCTTATTTATTTGTTTAATATTACGTACTTTACTAGTTTACTACTTTACTTAGATCAAGATATACAATTTAATTTAATTAGAAATATTATAATTAACTTCATTACAGTTTGGTTATGTCTTCTTTTTTAAAGTTGATTATTAATTGGCTATTTTGTGTATCTAGTTTATTTAAATTCATGTAAACAAATCATTTTACTTGTGATTTTGTTTAGCTGCAATATTGTTTAACATTTAAGCAATTAATTTTGAGGCTTACGCCTCGTTACGCCTCGAGGCTTATGCCTTGTGAGGCTACCACAGAACGCCTCGGGGCCCGATTTCGCCTTTCAAAACCTTGGTGGCATCACATTATAACTCTTGTTGTTTCGCATGACAGCTTTTATTCCCATGAGGTCTCATGCATATGTGTTCCTCAGAGATATTCTTCATTTACACCCTTCAAATTTATATTAAACATGGCCTTATCCTTTTCATTTTTTATCCACTTCCATTCATAGCCTTCTTTCACTACATAATCTCCCACGGTGTCTATATGTAAAAAGAGAGTCAAGTACATGTCCTATTTGAAAAGTATAATGGGATTTTTCCAAAAATAATATTAAAATAAATCCTATAGACAAAAATAGGACTACCTAAAAAAAATCCAAAAATGAGACTAAACTACTACTATTGACCTTAACCAATCCGATCAGTGACCAATCCGATAGTGACTAGTTACCCAATTAGTGACCATGACCAATCTGACCAGTCACCAATTACCCAATCAGTGGTCATGACCAATCTGACTAATTACCAATTACCCAATCAGTGATCATGACCAGTCCGATCAGTGACCAATTACCCAATTTGTGACCATGACTAATCTGATCATTGACTAATTACCCAATCAGGACCATGACCAATCCGACCAATGATCAATCCAGCCAGCACCAACCCGATAGTTATCATCCCCCTCCCCAGCACTAGCTCCCCTTCCCAGCACCCTCCCCTTCCCGGCTAGCCCCCTCCCATTCCCGGCCAGCCCCCTCCCATTCATGGTCAGCCTCCCTTCTCAGCCTCCCCCTGAATTGCTCTAACCCCCGTTTCTCTAAGCCATTCAAGTTCTGTGTTTCCCAAGGCCAACAGAGGATTTGCTCAGACCCAAGGTGGATGACAGATTTACCCCAGCCACCAAAGCTAGTCGGCGGATGGATTAAGATCGCAGATAGAAAGCAAAGTTTGAACCACCGCTGTGAGCGCCGGCGTCGCTGGCCATCCACTACAGAGGGCAGGGGCGGTGGTGCCAGTGTTCTGTACGTGAAGGTCTGTCACAGAAGCTGGCTGGAGAGGTCCTTCGTCTGTTGCTCAAACCGGCAGAAATGGAGAAGGATCTATTTAGCTTGGTCTCTTTTTTGTCCTTAAAAAAAAGTCCTATTTTTGTGCAGCCAAAAGTCGCAACTTCTATTTTTGACATTATTTCATGTGTAATGTGTTTTTGTAAAAGGGGTCCATTTTTCATCTTTTTCTGAAGGGAACTCACTTCACTATCACATGAAAAAGTACCTACATCTGATTTCTCTGAATCAACATTGCTGAAGTCATCTTCATCATCAACTTGATCCTCATTACAAGTGACTTGAGTTTCATCCATCTCATCAGAAGTCGCACAGTCATTTGAAGCTTCGTTACTAATACACATCCAAGCAGATCTCTACTATCGCTAAATTGGATAGTCATCCTCAGTGCATTCATTTTTATTGTCGTTCCTAACAGCACTTCCACCATTACCTCTTCCTGTATGCCCAATTCTACCCCTGCCATGATTTGCTTAATCAAGAATAAACGGAGTACCTTGTATCCATTCAGATGTAAAATCCGCTCTCTATAGGCATGTGCAAGAACTCTGCATCATGTGAAACAAAACATATATCATCTTCTTGTGTTGCTTGAAAATCCATAAAACTACAATATGATGAAGCAAAGAATTGAAGTTTCTAGATATTTAGCGAAAGAAGAGGAAGTGACGTCTGCAAAGAGCTGAAGCACGGAAGAAGATGTCTAAACCTGAAAGTTTGATTCAGCCGTGTATTAGAAGAAAGAACACATAGATGAGTGAAATTAACAAATAATCCCTAAATAAGGGTATTTTTGTCAAAGCAATGGCTGCCATTTGACAGTACTTCTGGTTGAACCACTAGTTTTTTGACGTACAGAAGGAGGGATTACAACAATAATCGAAGCTCAGGGTAAAATACTTGACTTCTAAAAATATATTGTTGAACTAATAATTATGATCAAACCAAAATGGGTCATAATTTCCCAAATAAGTGAAATTCAAACTTCAGTAGAGCTTTTTATAGTACTCATATGTAAGTTTCTTAGGCTATGTTTGTTCCTGGAAACTGGTATACAAATGAAAAAAAATTTGCATGTACTTTGGAAAATGCAAAAAGAAAATGAAATAAGATCAATTCATGTGTTTTACATATAGTTGCTGGAATAAGAACTAAAATGTTACTCACATGTTACAAACTGGTAATTTCAGATGCTCGATGGCCGTCCAGTAAGGGTGAACTTTGCCAATGAAAAGCCACGTGGTTTTGGCGGTGGCGGTTATGGTGGCAGTGGCGGCGGTTATGGTGGCGGTGGGAATTATGGTAGTGGAGGTGGCTATGGCAGTGGTTATGGAGGAGGCAGTGGAAGTTTTGGAACTGAAGGCAGTGGAGGGAACCGCTATGATATCGGCAGTGGCAGCTTGGGTTATGGCAGTGATAACTTTGTCAGTGGCGCTTCTGATGGAAATGCTTTTGCTAGCAGTGGTTTTGGGGGTAATGAAGCAGGGGAAGCTGGGGATGATCAAAATGATGACTGTATTAAAAGAGCATAGGGTGGTGGTTGTTGGTTGAAAATATTTTTGTGTCAGGGGACCGAATAAGAAAATCTAAAATATATTGAATATGATGATGACCCATTCCCCCACCCCTCTTATGTTTATGTCATTACTCATTAGGTTCTACCCTTCATTTTTAATCTTTTCTCGACTATCATTATTATGACTAAACATTGAGGATTTAAGAACCTAGTTCTTAATTGTGTTTTGAGTGTGTTGAATGTGAATTTGCATCATAAATTTAGAAATTATTTTTTACTTCGCCATCGTGAATTTGCATTGTCTTAATTTATTACTACGTATTATGTTGGGGCAACATACGTATGTTGAACCAAGACAATAAAACGCCCAATTAGAATTAAACCTTTAACTCTTTAAGTATGGGCAGACCTGTTGGTCTTGAATTTTTTTTGATGTTTTTATAGCATGTTCCTCATCAAGTTTAGTTTATCCACAAAAAATTTCAGCTCAAAACTTGATTGGGAAGGTCATCAATTAATTTTTGGAAGTTAACATCGTTTTATATGTATATTTAGGCGCATTTATCTTCCAAAAATCATTTGACGTCCTTCTCGATTGATTTTTTTGTTGAAATGTTTTGTGGATGAATTAGACTTGATGAAGAACATGCCATTAAAATTTCATCAAAAAATTCCACCAGGATTCCGGGAAAAGCAGTCGTCTGGACGTCAGTTCCGGTTAGGAATTTCTGACCGGAATAGTACTCTATATATACACACGAAATATAAACAATATATATAATTTAATATATATATATATATATGTAGTGATGGACCTGGGCCGGTCCGGTTCCGGTTCTGGGCCGGCCCCGGGCAGACTTTTTTTGAAAATCCTTGGGCTCGGAACCGGCTCGGGTTGATACCGGGGCTGGGCCCGGTTCAGTGTCTATTTTTGTTTTTGCTTTCTTGTTATCCCTCGACCCCTCCCCTCACCCCCACCTCCCAAACCTCCCCAAAACACCTAGCCCTATCCTAGGAAAAGAAAAAATTGAAAAAAAAAAAAAAAAAAAATTGACCCGGGCCTGGCCCGAACCCCCCGGGTTGGTTAGCCCAAAACAGGGCTCGAGCTCGGCCCGAACCGCCCGGGCCGGTTTGCCCAAAACTGGGCCCGAGCCTGGCCCGCCTGACCCGCCCAAACGGGCTAAAAGCCCGGAATCGGCCAACCGGTCCCGGTCTGGTTCGGGCCTGCAAAGTAGCGGGCCGGGCCGGCCCGGTTTAGTCCATCCCTATATATATGGTTGAGATATATTATCCCGACCTACAATTGTTCAGACGCTCAAGACATCACCCCGACATGGAGCCCAGTCGGTGAGGCCCATTTAGGCCTACCTAGGGGTGGACCGGTTCCGGTTCGGGCCCGATCGTGCCTCGGTTCATTAAAGGGGAGGCCCGGAACCGCCCGGGTAACACCGAGTTCGGTTCGGGCCTCGGTTCTTGTTTTTTTTTGGCTTTTCCTAATTAACCCCCAACCCTCCTCCCTCACCCCCAAACCACCTCAAATGGCCCATCATACCCAGCCCAACCCAAAAACTTAAAAAAATTCAAAAAAGAAAAAAGAAAAAAATAAATTTGCCTGGACCGGGCCCGAACTGGCCGGGCCGGTTCACGATTTAGGAGGCCCGGGCCTGAACCGCCTACCTCACCGGGTCGGGTGGCCCGAACCGGGCACCAACTGGTTCACTGGGCCCGCACAGTAGCGGGTCGGTCCGGTTCCGGGCCGATTGGCCCGACCCGAGTCCACTCCTAGGCCTACCCGTCCCACTAAGGCCTTTCCGACCCATTAGGTTAGAAAGGCTCCCCACTCTTCTATAAATTGGAAGCAAGAATTCCATTTAAAACGAGCTTTGAGCTCCTCTCTCCAGGGAGCTAGGCTCTTCTTCCCCCCAACTTCCTTAGCTAACTACAACCTCCATTAATGGAAGTTTGATATTTTTACTATATAAATGGTGAGAGGAGTATTAATGAGAAAGATAGGATTTGAACATTAGTCTAAAAAATCCTGTAGTTTTCTCCCTTTCGGGTTTTCACGTAAGAACATAGCATTTCATACATATTCATATTTATATTACTATTTTATGTTGAATTAAAATCAACATTGGTGCCGTCTGTGTGAAATCATTTGCAGATTATTCTCAACACCAACCTTTGTATAGGAAAGGTTAAATACTGGATCCCAACACGAGAATAATCTGCAGATTATTGCAGATTAAATAGGAAAGGTTAACTATTGTAGATTATTCTCAACACCAACCTTGGAGATCCCATGTTAAATATTTCATGCTTCCGGGGTGTCTGAGGAAGCCATTTGCAGATTATTCTTCAGTACGCTCTCAGGGCCCGCTCAGGAGTGGTTCAATCAGTTACAGACTTACAGCCAAGCTCGATCGGGAGTTTTTCCGAACTGTCTACTTTTTTCCTAGCACCCTTTGCCTCAAGTGCTACCTCAAAGCAGCATTTCAGCTACCTCACCAACGTTCGCCAGGGACCAAAGGAATACATCACCCAGATCCTGACAAGGTTGAGGGATGAGACCTTGAAGGTGGAAAATTTGACTGAATGCACTGGCTATGCCGTGGTGTTGGAACATGCATGAAAGTATGCTGCTCTTGAGGAAGAAATAATGATCAGGGACAAGATCGTTCTGTCTACTGCACCCATGAAGTTGGCTGATCGGCTGGGTCCTATCCCATCAGCCTCACCTGTCCCAAAGCCAAAGCGCTTCACACCGCTGGTACTCTCGATTGCGACTATTTTTCACAACGAGAAGGATATCATTCCTCCCCCAACATATACCAACACCTACATGGGGGGCGATGACGCCTATTTCCTGTATCATAAGCGAAAAGGGCATGCTACCAAGCATTGTCGAGCATTGCAGATTGCCATAGAAGAGCTTATCCAGCAAGGGCATCTGGGCAAATACGTGAGCCAACACTCGAACGGAGCGACCCCAGTTCAGAGGCAGAACAAGAGGTTCAATAGCTGGAGGGATGATCGACTGGAGGATGAGCCACGGAATGATGTGTACATACAGCCCATAGAAGAGGCAGAAGGATCAGGAAAGAAGCCCAGAATGGAGATCAAAGTTATCTTTGGAGGGGGAGAAACCGGGGATACAGCTGCCGGACGAAAAAAAATCGAACGGAGTTTGTATGTTGCATCCATCTCTAACCCCCCCAGAAAAGAAACAAGATTGAGCCGATCACGTTCGATTCAGTAGATTTACCCACATCACCAAGCCCACATAGGGACGAGCTGGTGGTAAGTATGTGCATTGATAACGCCCTCATCCGCCGAGTCCTGATGGATACAGGTAGCAGTGCGAACATCCTGTATTTACAGACGTTTGAGAAAATGAAATTGAGAAAAGATCAGTTAGCCCCTTGGAAAACGACCTTTGCAAGTTTCACCGGAAACTGCATTGACGTTGAAGGGACCATTTCATTCCTGGTCAAGATCGCAGATGAGGAACACAGAGCGGCAGTCCGTATGACATTGGTGGTGGTAGACATCACATGTGCCCACAATGCCATATTAGGCAGGCCTAGTTTGGAAGCAATAGCTTCTGTTCGGCATTCCTGCATAAAATTCCCGACGGACACTGGGATAGGAGTGTTGCTCGAACGGATCCCACAACAGCCCGGGCATGCTATCGTGAGGCCATGAAGAAGATAAACACCCAAGGGATGCGGGTAAACAGCATAAAAGTGGAGTCACGATGAACCGAATTTGTGGCACGACCTGAGCCGACCACCCTGTTAGAACACATAGAGCTTGATTCACCCTCCGATCGAAAGATTGCAAGTGGGGCATATTTGGAGCTTGAAATAAAAGGATTGGTTACCATGCTTTAAAAAAATACCAGATCTTGTTCACATGAGGAACAAACGATATGTCAGGTATTGATCCGTTCGACCCGATGCCAAGCCAGTGTAGTAGAAGAAAGATATCAGGGAGTTGAATGGCGTGAATTTACAAAGATGGAGGTAGCCACATTACTAAAAACTAAACATGTCACACATGTTGTCCATGTAGAATTGTTGTCAAATGTGGTGCTTGCCCCGAAAGGTCCAACCTGAAGAATGTGTGTGGACTACTCTGATCTAAACAAAGCTTGCCCCATGGATCCCTATCCGGTGCCCCAGATCGATTTCATGGTAAATGAGACTGTCGGGTGTGAACTGCTGAGCTTCATGGATGCCTTTTGGGGGTATCACCAGATCTTCATGCACTCGGATGATGCAGAGAAGACTGCGTTCGTTACCTCAGACAATGTATATTGTTACATCGTTATGCCGTTCGGGTTAAAGAATGCAATGGCCACTTTTCAGAGAATGATCGGGATATTGTTTAAAGATGTACTGGGGGTGATAATGGAAGCATATGTGGATGACATTTTGATCAAGAGCAGAAAAAGGAGGATCATGTTCAGGATATGGAGAGAGTGTTCGGAATAATGCAGAGAGCCAACATGGGGCTCAACCCCAAGAAATGTGTCTTCGCTGTGAAGGGCGGGAAATTCTTGAGGTACATGATGAGCGAACGGGGCATAGAGACCAATCCCGAAAAGGTTAAGGAAATTATGCACATGGAGGCACCAAGGAACTTGAAAGAGGTTCAGAGGTTGCCTGGTCGGCTAGCCGCGTTGAGCAGGTTCCTGTCTAAGCTAGCCGATCGAGCGATTCCATTCTTTCAAATTATGAAGAAAGCTAGTCCGTTTGAAAGGACTGCGGAATTTCAAGCGGCCTTTGAGGAGTTCAAAACCTATTTGTCTTCTCTTCTGGTCCTAACAAAGGCTGACCCAGGGGAACATTTGTATATGTATCTCGCAGTAGCCGATCTTGTTGTCAGTTCGGTGCTGTTGAAAGAAGCTGATGGGGTTCAACGGCCTATATATTTTGTCAGTAAACTGAACAGCCCGGAATTGAGTGGATTATTACTTCAGTGTATATATGTGATTGAATTTAAAAAACCGAACAATTGAAGTTACACGAGTATAAAACTCACAAACCGACAAAAATAGAGATAGAGAAAAATTAAAAGCAAGAACGATTAAAAATATATAAGCTTTTAAATAGAAAAAGGTGTTTCATATCACAGATTTGATCCAAACTAAAATGTTCATACAAATTCAAAAGGCCCCTACTTTGGTTTACCTTTTGTAAGAAACCATAAATCCCTGTAGGTCGGCTTCTGGGTATATCAATTTTCCGTGTAGCCATGTAGGTCGGCTCCTAGGTATATCAATTCTGC